TGAATTAAGAACCTAAAGGTTAAAGAAGTCAGAATGTGAGGGCTCAATAGTTCTATATCTAAACATAAAACATACATTTTACCAAATATACAAAAAATACATGTATGATCCAAGTTCCCAACCTACAACTCCTTCAAGTGTCTGAGGCATTGGTTATGTGTTTGACAGAATGTTGTCCTTATAGTATTAATTTATTGTGTGAGATAATATTGGTATGTATTAACAGATTAGAATTTTCCCCTTTCCCCCCCATTCCTTCTGTAACCTGTGGTTTGTCAGATGTGCAATGTGTGTGGGTCCCCCACCCCGTAGAGAAGTAGAGGATAAAGAGGCCGTGATCCCTTGAATGATGGTCTGCATTACAAAAATCTGGTAACATGGCAAATAGTGAGCTATTGTGGATATAAGTAAGAGTTCAAATTTATGTACTTCAGTAGAGTTCTAGGGTAGATGGCAACATTGTGGAAATTAGCAGGTGAAGGGGCATTCACTCTTCTCTTCCAGTGGCCAGTCCAAATACATTAAATGTGTGAAAGGGAAGTGGCTATAGCTCCCCAGTATAAAGTTGCTTGCTGTCTGTAGGGTTCTTCTTAGAAGAAAAATTAGTAGCGTAGAAATCCAAAAACTTTCCACAAATCTGATTTTTCTTCAAGCCTTGCCTGCTAGTGTCCAAAACCACTTTCAGTGATTGCCTGACAGCCCTACCCAAACGCTTGGTCCTAGAAGTATGAAGTTGGAGACTTTAGCATCCTAATTGTTTCAAGGGTTTAATATTTTTGCATACATATGCACAATGCTATGTTATCTTGGCTAGCATTGATGGGAGAGGGAGAATGAATGCTGGATGAGTATATGGCTTCAGAAAATGTTTTTGAAGGTTTGCTCTCATATTTCAGAATTACATGTATGTTGCAAATTGGATCAAGTAGCAAGGAAGGTTAATGTGTAGTTGAATTCCTACTTATTTTGACAAGTGCTCTGCATAGTGCAGTTGTAAACATAGTCTTGTGTTACCTGCCGGCTTCAGGGGGTGGGTCCTGGTGTGTGAGAAATGTCTATGGCACGTAAGACTTTCAGTTGTATACTTGAGTCTGTCAGTTCTTCATCTCAAATCTACTGTACAAACTATACACCAAAGGTACAGGATTATAAAAAGATTTGTAAATTATACTGTTAATGCAGGTTGATGCTTTTTTGTCTGGAACAATGGGATTGTGCCATTGTGGAAAGCATTCAGGCTGTATGTGACAAAGTTCAGAGGTGGCTTCACTGATCTCTTGAGTGCCATTGTGGAAAGCATTCAGGCTGTATATGACAAAGTTCAGAGGTGGCTTCAGTGCAGCAGGATTTCCCATGCACAGAATATTTAGATATCTCCAAAATAAATGAGGTTAGCTATTTAACAAGTATCCTACTAATTTCCTTCATGGAAAAGTTGCACAACTATTAGGTACAATAGAAATGAAGCTGGGTCTGTAAGGATGGAGTTAAGCATTTTGTCTTCATTTGCAAATGGGGCGTAATTAAGTTTCTGGGCTACATTTTTATCTGCCATGAGTCTAATAGGAGGAGGCAAGTTATAAGTGTTTTTAAACAACTAAAGAGCCAAACAAGTATACATGTGTTTATTTATGGAGTAGATAGCCTGGTCAGGGGCTCCAAAATTTTTGAGATGAGCATGTGTGTAATTTTCATAATTTTTTGAACTTTGTATTCTGATTGCTCATTTTTAGTATACTTCCTGACAGAATACAAGTCCTTGCCAAAAATAATGGTTTTGTAGTAGTAACATCTCAAATCTTGCATTATTTCCTCTGGAATTTATCTAGCATGGTCAATAGATTCTATCAAGCAGTAGATTTCCACTAAGGGGGGGGGACACAATCATCTCCTCCTCCACTGCTGTCTTCTCTTTTTTCTCTCATTCTGTTCTTGGATGTTCCCAGGAGCAGCATTTCAGGCTGCAACAGGACAGCAAAGGCAGAGTCCTGTTCTGTTGACAGTAGTCCCTTCAGTCTGCAAGAACTCTGGTGGATCTAACTCAGTATGTTGCAGTTAGCATGAGCAAAAACATGCCCCTGTCCTGAGGAGCTCAGAATGTAAATTTCAGAGAACAAGAGATTAGTGTATCAAAATGAATTTACATGAACTTTATTTTCGTTGGAATGAGGACTAGGGCATCATCAGTTAAAATACACTTTTTAAGGAGGAATTTAGTGGTAGCTTGGCTTGTAATCTTTACCTTTTAGAGTGTATCCCTGAAGACCATAATATAGCCCTAATGCAGTAACTTCTCATCACTTAACCAAGCAGGGATACCATATTCTTCTTTATCTCTACTACCATTCTTTGACTAGGTTAGAGACATAATATCATGCCTGCTGGTAAGCCATATGGAAACTTTTAGCTGAAAACACTTGGATTATTAATTCTTCCTTTCTCCCCCTTCAGACTATTGAATTTTTTTCTACTTCCAGTTGTCTTAAAAGATATCTAGAATTTCTTAGCTTGCTTCCTTCTACATTATGTTGTGCTAGCAGGTGCATAAATATGTAGTTTTCTAGAAATTGTACTTTTAATATAGCAATATGTTACATCATAGACCTAAGTTCTGATACAACTTTGTTAGTTCAACAGATTTTTCATTATCTGTAAACTATTAGCAATTATTAAAGTGTTGACTGGCTAGACATGGGTCAAGAAATATCCTGGCTGAAATCTCTGTTGCATTAAGATAAGGAGCACTTTTCCAGAGAATATAGCAGGTTCCAGTATTAGATTGAATTTCTGTTAATTAAATATAGAATAATTATTTCTGCTTGCTTCTGTTTCTAGTTAGTTCCTTATTTATGTTGTTAGAATATATTAAGTAGGTTCAACAGAATTTCCAACTCACCACTCGAGGTTTTTAGGTGTTCCAAGGGATCTGTGAGTTCTTTGTAAGGACAGAGGGGGTAAGCTCTTCTGGCCATAAACCTATATATGAAAACAGAGCCTTCTCAGTTTCCTAGGAATGGTGGCAGAAAACCATCTCTGAAAAAGGGGATAGCTTTCCTCTTTTTCTCTCCTTTTTTTTTTTTTTTTTTTTTTGAAGGGTGGCCGTAATTTTAGAGTGTTAGGCAATAAGGAAGCTTCTTCCTGTCTCTGGTACAAAGCCCATTCCAAACAAGGGGAGAGATTGAATTGTACTTGGGTTAGGCCTGTTGAATTGTGTGGTCCTACAGAAACAACTACCATCTCAGAGTTGACTTTGCAAGTCATGTATAGACAATTTACACATTTTCCTTAAAATTTCTGTTAAAATGAGGGTTCTCATTGTTTTGAAGATATGAGAGTATGGGAGCCTCTGGGGGAGGCATTTGTAGCTTGTCTAACTCAGCGTTCAGTGTGTGATGCAAATCTGTGAGGAACAAAGCTTGGCCATGTGAGTTAGTGGGAAAAAATCAGAATCAGGGTCCTTGGGTTTCTAAAATTTGAGCCCTTAACCTAGGGGGGTTGAACGTATGCCCACAGGCCAGATCCAGCCCCTGCAGGGCTTCTATCTGGCCTGCGAGCAACTGGCTCTCTGCTGTTTCCTGTTCCTGCTTTCTGTTTCCTTCATCGCAGCTCCTTTTTCCCAGTCTCTCCTATTTCCTGCTTCGCAGAGGAGAGAAAGAAAGCCAAGCCTCCCGTCCCTTGATTGCCTGAGGGATCTTCCCCTCCTCCTCTTCCTCTAGGGAGGGAGGGGGAGGGGGAGGGAAAGATTTTTTTGTTATAGAGAGAGTCCAGTGGCATTTTTAAGACCAACAATGGTTTATTCCAGGTACAAGCTTTTGTGTGGGTGCAAACTTTTTCAGAGAGAGGGAGGAAAAGAGAGAGATGGTAAGAAATGCTAATGTAGCATTTTTTTTCAATTTTTCCGAAAATTTCGGTTTCCCCCCGACAAAAACCGGAAAAAAAACGGGGTTTTTTCCGAGCTTCAAAATTTCCGGAAATTTTACACCTCTACCCATGGCACTTGGAGAGATCCCCCTTTCCAGTTCTGACAGATGGGGGGAGGGAAGAAACCTAACAGCACAGCTTGCAATCTTTATTGGTGGAAGGGAGCAAGAGTCCAGGAGCACTTTAATAACTAACAAAATTTGTGGCAGGGAATGAGCTTTCATAAGTCACTGCTCACTTCTTCAGATACAGCTAGAATATCAGTCCATCTGTCCCTACATCTTGGAGAGTGAAGTGATTTCAGATGCCAAATGACAATAGCAGGCATTAGTAATGAGAGAAGAAACCTAAGTCTCAGTTCAGTCCAGGAGGATGCATTGTCTGGAGCTTCATTATCAGTAGCAATTCAGATGTCTCTCAAACTAATCTCCCTTTGAAATTCCTTTGTAAGAGAACTACTACTGTTAGGTCAGCAGCTGAATGTCCTGGAAGGTTAAAATGTTCCCCCACTGGTTTTTGAATGTTGGGGTTTCTAATAGCAGTAAGAAAGAGTAAGAGTCCAGTAGCACTTTAAAGACTAACAAAATTTGTGTTAGGGTATCTTCTTTTGTGAGTCACTGCTCACTTCTTCAGACTTACTTCCATTGATTCTTTGCATCCCCCTGGACTGAATTCTCCTGTATCAAATTGAGATCTAGGTTTCTCGTCTCATTTCCAGTACTAATATCTCTACTCCTACCTATCATATTGCACCTAATCCAGTCACGCCTGGTATTGCCATTTGGCATCTGAAATCATCTTTATAAAGTTTATATCTCCAGTACTTCATGTTACATTTTAGGGCACACATGGCCTGGCCTGACAAAGTGACATTTATGTCAGATCCGACCCTCATAACAAATGTGTTAGACACCTCTGCCTTAACCTAATGAGCTTATTGAGCAGATATGTTTCCAGTTGTTTGACAAATTTACATAGATTTTATGTAGCATTATGTTAATCATGACACTCAAAAGAATATTACAAAGATTTTAAATCTGTATATTTGAGGCACTAATTTTGACTTTCATTTCTTTTAGGAAATTCCAGATGTTGCATCCTATGCTATTTGAAGCTTAATCTCTTCTGTACCAGTTGGCGGAAGGAATGTAAACCTAACATTATAAGTCTGTGGAGAAATTGGCAGAGGTGCAGTTGACTGGTAAATAACCTTGTGGAGTTGAATGTGTTGGAAATTGTCTTGACCCAGATGTTTAACTCATGGGGCTAATCATATCGGGAAAGCTTACATGCACATAACAGTATTAAATATTATCCATTGTGTGTGAGAGAGTCTGTTCAGGTTCAAATTCTTAAATTTAGGTCATAATAGTACAGCATGTTGGAAGTCAGTTGCAATAGCACAATTAGTTGGCCTATGATACGTTGTGTTCTCTTACACAAATCGGCATTAGGATGTTGCCCAGCACTGCTTTAGGGATTTTGTCATAGCCAAGAATAGCTCCCATATCCTTCAGAGCTCAGTCAGATGGCTGCCTCACAGTTACAAAAGGAGCTTTTCTTGCTTTGCTGTATGCCGTACTTCTGTACACTGCAAATCTTGTCCCATAGAGCTAGTTTCGGCAGTTCCCTGGCAACAGGAGTTCCTATAGTTGCTTATAGGGAATTTGAGAGACTAAAGTTGAACGTGGACCTACAGATACTTGTGTTATCTAGTTAGTATATGAATACTTAGTGTTTAATACTTAGTGTTTTCAACTTACAATATAAATACATTACTGTTATTGTTTGAACTCACTATAACCCAGTGAGTTCTATCGCTTCTTGGCAATATTCCCTCTAAGCTATGGAGTCTTGTGAGCGAAAATTCTACTTTGTGAGCTACTGGAACACTGCTTCTCGGCCTTTTGCTAAGATCAAGTGTAGTACCCAGTGATTTCCAGTGTAATATAGTGGGTTTGTAGACTCCTATGTGTGAATTCAGCATGGCCATATGTGGAGTGATACTGGAACTGGATCCTGTTGCAGTAAACTCCTGCCACAAATCCGGTGTGAGGCTTTCATAGAGGCAAACTTCAACCATCCTGAAACCTCCAAAAAGCTGATGATTGAGGTTGCAGGACCTGTGTGAATAAAAAAGCTGCACTGCCTGGGATGCTACAATGAGGAAGGTGATCTGGGTGAAATTACTTGTGCCAGCAGAGCTCTCTTTGCAAATGTAGGGACCTTGGGAAGAAGGGGAAAGTGGTCATGATTTCAGCTGTTCCCTCTTTGTGCTGCAGCTTCCTTGGCAGTGTAGGTTTTTTGTCCATGCATGACCTGAAACTTTCAACATCAGCCTTTTGGTTACTGAGGAACAGGATGTTTGTTGCACTCACACTTAAGATTCAGACCACTGTTGTTTAGTCGAATTGGCTAGCACAGACTGATTTAACTCTAATTGTAGTTTTTGACCAGGTCAGTGGCATTTTGAGTGTTAGAATCATATTCTTAAAGCTGTACAGCTTAGTTCCTAAAGTACTTGGTGAGACCTTATCTTACTGTCTCTAGCCCAGTATCCTGGTTATAGAGTGAAAGTATTTGCCTGGGTTATGAGGTTGAATGAGAACTAGTATAAAGAATTTTGCACATAGGTAAGTTGGCTTCATTTATACAGATATGAGTCATAATGCTCACATTCATAGTCGTCTTGCCAGGAAGCTTTACTGTTGATCAGTGGTATTCTTGCCAAGGGCTTCAATAAAAGCCACTAACTCTTAATATAGCATTCATGTGGTATTCTGAGCAGGGACTTTTGAGTCTCCTCTTACTCGAGTGCATCATTGGTTCATAAAGCATAATGGGCGCTACTTATTTAATGCTCTTATTGATCTAAAATAATTGTAGTAATTTATTCTATACCTGTTGTGCCTGAACCAAAAATGCTTTTTATGTAATAGCTTAGATTTTTCAGGCCCATGTTTCAGTGTGCATGTTAGAAGGTACTGTGTTCTATGTTTACATTATCAATTTTTTTACTCGTTAAATGGTACTTAAAGTGCAAGGCTTCCTGCATCCAGTTAAATATGCCTAAATTCTGTGCGGACTGAGAGCTGTGTGCATTGAACTAAATGTCTTAAGACAGTCACATATTTGAATCTAGGAGACCACGAGACAGTCTACACATTCAGAAGACTTTTGTATAATTTCAGGCCATGGTGGGTGGAAAATAAGTATACTTGACTTGCTCTTCTGTATAAAAACAGCAACACAAGCCCATTTTTGAAAGAGAAAGCTATCATGTTGGGTGAGAATTCTAGGCCAAGATGTCTTTATGAGGCAGTATTTGTATACAATTACAACATAGTCTGGTTGTACAGTCCCTAGAGATCTGAACAACATATATTTCTGAAGATACAGATTGAATCCATAGGTGCTTATATTTCCTGGTTAAGCTCTATATCTGAAGTCTTGTCAGTTAAATTTCATAGCAAACTATTGTGACTTTCAAAAGCTGCCGTTTGCCATTGTTACTGTGGCTGTCTTAGCAAAGTTTGCTTGGCTATTTAAGGTATTTCTTGCATTTTGCAGTTTATTTTTTGTATTGATAGTTAAATCACTTGTTTTGCAGACTTCTTTGCAAAGTAAGCAAACATGGGTGCATTTTTGGATAAGCCAAAAACCGAGAAGCATAATGCTCATGGGACTGGAAATGGTCTGCGTTATGGGCTTAGCAGTATGCAAGGATGGAGAGTGGAAATGGAAGATGCTCACACAGCTGTTGTAGGCATTCCTCATGGCTTAGAGGACTGGTCCTTTTTTGCTGTTTATGATGGTCATGCAGGTTCTCGTGTGGCAAATTACTGCTCCAACCACTTATTAGAACACATCACTAATAACGAAGACTTCAGGGGAACAGAACAGCCCGGCTCTGCTCTTGAACCTTCTGTGGAAAATGTAAAGAGTGGAATCAGAACTGGCTTTTTGAAAATTGATGAGTATATGCGCAATTTTTCAGACCTTAGAAATGGCATGGACAGGAGTGGCTCAACAGCAGTGGGAGTTATGATTTCACCTGAGCACATTTACTTTATCAACTGTGGAGATTCACGTGCTGTTCTCTATAGGAATGGACAAGTCTGCTTTTCAACACAGGATCACAAGCCTTGCAATCCAAGGGAGAAGGAGCGAATCCAGAATGCAGGAGGGAGTGTCATGATTCAGCGTGTTAACGGCTCATTAGCAGTTTCTCGCGCTCTGGGGGACTATGACTACAAATGTGTCGATGGCAAAGGCCCTACAGAACAACTTGTTTCTCCGGAGCCTGAGGTTTATGAAATTGTAAGAGCAGAAGAGGATGAGTTTGTGGTCTTAGCTTGTGATGGAATCTGGGATGTAATGAGCAACGAGGAGCTCTGTGAATTTGTTAAGTCTAGGCTTGAAGTATCAGATGATCTCGAAAAAGTGTGCAATTGGGTGGTGGATACTTGTTTACACAAGGTACGTAACCTGTTCTTGTCATGAATTTCATCCCAAAAGATGCCATAAAGTCCCTGGATCTGCTGTATTGTGGCAAAATTAGCCAGTGGTTACAAAAATCTAGTAAAATAAATGGTAATTAGACTACTCTTCTGCATTTGTGGATAGTATCTTGTGATGCTTCAGTGAGGATTTACTCTGAGGATAAATTTACACAATTTCACACTTGTTAGGAATTTATGCCTTTACTGGATTTGGGATTTTTGCTGTATTGTATGCCATATTAAATTGAATTTTTTAACCCCAAGCCCTAATTTGTCATTAGTGAGAAAAACCTTTTTTCTTTCTGTGTTTGAGCAGAATATATAAAATGTCCATAAAAGATAAGACTACTTTTTTGGGGAAAGAATTGAATTTTTTAACCCCAAGCCCTAATTTTTTTCTTTCTGTGTTTGAGCAGAATATTTAAAATGTCCATAAAAGATAAGACTGCTTTTTTTTGGGAAAGGACAGACTTCTCTGTTTTACCCAACCCCAGGAATTGCTATGATGTATGGTTAAAAAGAGAGCCTCTAATTTATGATTTCTGAAGATTTTCTGGATTAAGTGTTAAAGTGATGTTTCCATACCAAAATATTTTTCAGTCTGGTATTGTTTTTAGGATACAGGTATTGCTTTCAGGATGAAAAGAATTCTAGTCTTGGGGAGGATGGATTGTTCACTTTCCCCTTCATTCCCAAACTCATACATTCCAGAGGTATAGGAGAGGTAGACATGTAAGGAAAAATCATCGTAATATTGACAAAATCAGAATCTGAATGGGTTTTTTCCCGGGAAAGTCAACTTTCATGGTGCCAATTTATCATATTTTGATTAACTTTCAACATTATTTCAGTATTCAGAATCCAAATGCAGAATAGCATGATGCTTAAAATATTCAGAATTCAGTGGTTTTTCTTGAGCACATCTTCTTGTGGGTTAATGTGAGAGGTAACAGTAGCATTTTTAGTACTGCTGATGTAAATTTATATTAAATTGCCTGTCAGGAAGGGATAAAATAATGTATTAGATGCCTGAGAGTCTAATAAGTCATACAGAAAAACATGGTTAGGACCAATCTATTTACATAGAACACCATGGTTCTCACAGACACCTTTCCTGACAGGTGTTTTTAGATAGTGGGTAGGGCTTTTGCCTGGCAGGGCTTCTGATCAGTGACTGGAGATCTAATTGGCTGTGCCACCATAGCACAAGGATCTTCACAAAAACTGGTGTGTGTGTATGCAGGAAAATATTTTTAAACAATATCATTTTAAAAGGCATCCTATTAACAGCTTCTGCCTGAAATGTTGAATAACTACTATTAGGATTATGCATGAACCTCACTCCTTGAGATTTTGTTGTTGGCGCTGCTTCATGTGGCAGCTATTTTATAGTTGGCTCTCCCTTATATGGCAGCCTTTTTTTGGTTGCTCCAACCAACCAGTGTCTGAATTCCAAAGGTGCTCGCAGGTTCAAAAAGGTTGGGGACCCCTGATATGAAAGATTCTATGTCTCTTCAGGAAACCTCCTTGAATCAACTTTATAAAGTACAATGGAGGGCAACTAGGATTATTAGGGGTTTGGAGCACAATCCTGATGAGGAAAGGCTGGAGAATCTGGGTCTTCAGTTTAGAAGAAAAAGACAGCTGAGAGGAGACATGATAGAAGGTTTTAAAATTATGCATGAGGCATATAAAGTGGATAGAATGTTTTCTCCATTTTCCATAATATTAGAACAGGGTTGGCACACATTGCAATTGTTGAGAAATAGATTCAGGACAGACAAAAGGAAGTACTGCTTTGCCCAACCGGTAATTAAACTGTGAAATTCCCTGCCAGTTGAAGTGGTGAAGGTCATGAGCACAGATAGCTTTAAAAGGGACTTAGATTCATGGAGGTAGAGGTCCCTCATTGGCTACTGGCTATGGTGAGTGAAGGGAGCCTCCATCTACAGAGTGGCAAACCTCTGAATACCAGTGCTGAGAAGCAGCAGCAGGAGATGCCCTCAGCCTCTGTGCCTTGTTTGTTTGGCCACTGTGTGAAATAGTATGCTAGACTAAATGGACCAGAGGTCTGATCCAGCAGGTTATTCTTATGTTTGTATGTTCTTAGTCCGAATTTCACCTTGTAAAATATTAACTTTGAATAAGCATGTGTTTTTAGGTGGAAAAATACAAACTAAATATCTAAAATATATACTGTTTTTTCCTCTCCAAATATAGGGAAGTCGTGATAATATGAGTATTGTATTAGTTTGCTTTTCAAATGCTCCTAAGGTCTCAGATGAGGCAGTGAAAAGAGATGCAGACTTGGATAAGCACTTGGAATCACGGGTGGAAGGTAAGCAATCACATTCTGCATTCAAAATTGTTCTCACAGCGTGAGTCAAATCTACACATAGAAAATTGAAGTGGCTTTAGGCAAAATTAGTCCACAATGCAGCCCTTGTGCAAATTGGAAGATGCAACCTTTGGGGCCAGGTGAAAGCCTGGCTGACTTCTTGTCCTTACTGCATAAAAGTTTTGGAGAAGCGGTGGCCCTACATTGTCCAGCACAGATCATTTGCACACTGGTGTGCAATTTGTGGTGTGGGGTGTTAACTTCTGTAAGTGGTTTTTAAGGTTAGGCTTATTGGCTTCTCCTGATGAAAGGTATCTCATGAAGCAAAGCAAGTCCTATTGAAGAGCAGACAAACTTGCTTGTTGGTCAGTAGTAACTGCTATCGAGTAATTAAGAACAGGTGCTGTATGTGCCTGCATAAGCTAAAACAGCTGCACCATTAACATCCTGTAAACTTTGTCTCCATGTAAATAGACAAGCTGAAAGATAAGTATTGGCAGCCCTGGTCAGATTGGTTACTCTTATTTTGGGGAGGGGGTGTTCGGTGCATGTGACACTCTGGATCTTAACATATTGCTTAACAACAGCTTATCTTTTAAACTCTGAGAACTCTGTGTCTACCTTTAAACAAACCCTCAGCTGAAATGGAAGATGAGGGAAAAAGTCAAATTAAATTGGCTTTCCTGGCCTCTTCTTGTAGTGTATTGTATCACATTAAAGTTGGTTGGTTTTCTTGTCCTCTCTTCCATATTTAGAAAAGTTTGTTAAGAGGTCAACATTCTGTTTACATGTGGAGAGGTTGTGATGGAGCCAGCCTCTAAGTTAGAGAAAGGCTGTGCATGCTGTCCTGTCGGACTCGACTCTAAATATAAGATTTGGGAGATGTCATGAGGAGAAGAAATGTGTTGGGATTCAGACAATTGTTTAATGCTATATCTTGGCAACAGGTAATATGTAGGCCATTGAGAGCAGAAATGGCTTGATTCTGTATTGTCTCCTAACTGGCTTTTTATTTATTGAACACATTTATTTATACCAGTCATTCTTAGCTCTTGCTCCAAAAAGTCAGATATAAAAACAAGTAAAATACAAAAGGTAAACTCTGATCACAAAACGAGATAGATAAGAAGTAAAACCAACAATTTAGAATACCTGCATTATAGCTATGGCCACCATGCATGTGTTCAGGGAAACAAGTACAGTGTGAGGCTTTTTCAGGAAACTTTCCAGTGAACATATCGTGGAATGTAAACTGAGCATTCTAAAATGCAAGCTTGGTTATACACTGCACTGAACAGGTCATTACAGAAACATCGCTAATCTTCAGTGGCTGAAGTATATCATAATCCTGCATTACTTACTAGTTGGATATATACAAGCAAGACTGACACAATACTCTTGAGGCAATCAGTGGTTTGTAGCTTAGCTCTTCGCTTGTTGACACCTAAGTCCTGAAATGAAAAAAATTGTTAACTTGAAGCCTAAATCCTGAAATGAAAAATTTGTTGTTGCTTTTTGGCCCCCCAAAGGGGATTTTTTATTGTATTTTCTATAACTAAACACTACATGAAAAAGAAGGGAAGGGTCTACAAACTATGGGATAAAGGAAAGTAACCTCCAAAAACCCAAGAATGGGTGTCATACAAACAGCTTTAAAAAGATTACATGTTTATATAACTAAGTTCTCATGCCAAACCATTGAACGTAGTCATCATCTTTCTATAAACTTCAAATCTATTGAGAAACTGCTCTGCTGCTTCTTTCTAATGACATTTTAATTTTGGGGAAGAGCATTTTTCCTGATCCCCCAAAACAGACTAAGAAAGGATGCAGACAGAAGCTTGTGCTCACTTCACTCACGAAGTCCAGAACTAGGTAGCTGAAGAGTGGCAAGTTGACCTTGAGGAAGACCAGCTGCTTAACTCTCCAAGGGAGCAGACATGAGCAATGTGGGCTGACGTCCAGTCCAGAATTATCAGTAGAACCCAGGCATTCTTCACCATGAGGTGATCCAGATTTTGGCCTGCTGGACTCGTGAGGAACCAAAGAAGGGGCACCTAGTCTCTCCTCTAGTTCCTCCAGCAGCCTTTGGATCCCTGGGATGAGCTCAGAGCCGGAACACTTGTTTCCCAGGCTCACCCTAAAAGACAGCTCATGCTGCTCCTTCTCCTGCTGCTGAGTCACAACAGCAGCTGGAGTGTGACAGCCTGAGTGGCAGACCCCTGCTGAGTGCCAGTACCTGCAGGCATCTCTGCAGGCGGCGCTCCATAGCAACCTCAGTGAAGAGGGTCTTGTGAAGTCTCTTCATTGCAGCATTGTAGTCAGAGGTCAGGATGGTGGAAGGCAGCTGTGGGGCAGGTCTCTGCACAGCAGGCCCGTAGCTACAGTGGGGCATTTCAGGGCTTGGCCCCCTGACTTCCTACCAAGGCCCCACAACTTCCATCTAGCCCAGGCCCCCTGCTGCTGCTACCCCTTCCCTAAGTATGGCTTGCTTCCACAACTGAATGTCAGTGCCCCCCAACTTATTTAAAGGCCCCCCGAATTACAAAATCCTGACTACGGGCCTGCTGCACAGGTGGTGGGAAAGCCACAGCCCTCCCCCTTTCCCCCGGGGCCCTGTTGCACGCCCCTCATGCTGCTCATTCTGCCCTCTTGGCCAGAGTCTGTCTTCAGGACGTTAGGTACCTAGCTAGCTGCACTACGACCTACCTGACTCACTAACCTTTTTTCAATCCCTCATCCAAGTTTTTGTTTTGTAAACGTACACCCACATAACCTTGCTTCACTGGATTTATATTTTTTTAACTAGTGACTTCCTGTTCTAAAAGATTTCTGTAAACTAACCTGAAGATGGAAATGAACCCTTTTTAAAAGCCTTAATGAACTGTGTTTAGGGATTCCTAATTGTCCTACAAGCAGAGCCTAATTCTTTTTTAGGAATTAAGCAGCTGCCTTCTGAATAATGGAATCCTGAAAGGACAGCCTAAAACACTGTTTTTCTAAAACCGCCTGGCTTCAATTGTTTCAAAGCCCAGAGTGGGAACTAATTTCTTTACAGGTAATCCATTCTACAATTATTGTTTGGAAACAACCTGGCCTCTTAATCACCTAGCACTAGCCTAATAAAGGAGGAACTAGCCCTTTACTGAGGTTTGTGCTGTGCTTTTTACAATTCTGACACATCTTTATTAAAAGCTCTTACTAAACCTTACAAGAAAGTGTTTTACAATTAAATGGCTCAGACCAAGAGGAGCATTACAAAACACTAACCAGTTAGCAAAGGAAAACAGTAAACCACTTCAGCCACTTCAAAGGAGCTGAACACCCCACCTAACCCTCAAATATTTAAGTGCAAACAAGAACTGACCCCAAGCCCTCTCCCCCTCCCAACACAAAAGCAACAGAACAGAAGAGCAAGCCTTTTAACAAATAAAAACAGCAGAAAGTAAAGCCGAACAAAAACAGTGTGTAAAATAGGGGTGTCAAACATGCAGCCTGTGGGCTGGATCAGGCCCTTGGAGGGCCCCAATCCAGCCCACAATGATCTGGCTGTTTCCTGCTTCATTTTCCAGTTCTGCTGCTGCTGCCATGTCACAGCTTGCTTTACCAATCTCTCTCAATCGCACAGGAGAAATAGATAGACAAGTCTCTCCTGTGAGATTGAGAGAGTCTGGTAAAGAACTGGCTGAGGCTGATCCCCCTCCTCCTCCCAGGGGGAGGGAGGGAACAGCCAGAGCTTGCTTCCTGGCTAGGCGGCAGGAGACAAAGGAAAGCCTTTCTTTCCTTCCACTGACTGATACTCCTAGTGGGAGGGAGGGAACATGGGAGAGCTTACTTTGCTGGACTGCCTCAATCGCACAGGAGAAATACCAAGCACCTTTAAGATCAAAATGTTTTATTAAAGGTATGAGCTTTTATGTGCCTCGCTACAGTGTGTGTGTGTTTTGTTGGGCTCTTTATGTCAGGGCTCTCCTGGGTGCAACTGCCTTTTCACTGCCTTCATGCTCTCATGATCCAGTCTTTCTTTGTAACAAAGCAATGTGAACTATTTTAGAGGATGAATAACAACAAGCCAGTGAGGTGGATTAGGCTGAGAGTGTGTGTGTCCAGACCAAGTTCACCCAGCACATTTCCTATGTAGGAAGCTGTAGTTCTTTCTCTGGGGAAGACTATAGTTTTGTAGACAAACACAATGCCCTCAGTCTGTGTCAGGATGCCTTCTCATGTTCTTGACCAGCATATGAAGCAGCTTATGTACAAAAGATTACAATGCCCAGCTATTTCACGTTTTTCCCTGGGTCCTAGGCTCAGAACACTGAGCATGAAATTTCTGTAATGTCAATAAATCAAAAGTAGGTTTGCAGCTTACAAATACACACCTAAACAGCATACTCAAGATTGCTACAGCACAGACATGATGCAGTAATTCAGAACAAACAGACATTATGATGCAGTAATTCAGAGCAAAAGCTGTCAGTTATCAGAAACTGTTAAATAGACAAAATATTGCAAGAGTGATAGTGTTTTAAGTGTGTTTCATTTAAAGTTTTAAAACCTGGCATTACATTTTATGACATGATGGCTTGGCCCAACAAGGTCATAACAAATGAGTTTGACACCCCTGGTGTAAAAGAACCAGAAAGTAAACTAAGCAAGGAGAGCCCCCCTACTAGACCAAAAAAGAGAAACTTGCACAAGATTGGAATGGTAAGGGGAAAACCACAGAAAACTAGCTTAAAAAAAAAAAAAAGCAAAGGACCACCTCCCCAGATGACCCCCAAAAAGTTGATAGCCCCAAATAGAACAGAAATGCAACTCAACAAGCAGAATCTAAAAGCAAAGAAATTGCAAGAAACCAAAGGCCTTGGGCCTCCCTCTCACACATGCAATCCAACACCATGCCCAAAAGACCACACAGAATAGTAAGAAAACTTGAAATATGTTCTCAGACCAGGTGATGGTCTTCTGCGGGCAGGTAGAGAAGTATCCTAAAGATTCTG